CGTACAAAATCAGCAGGGGATCAAATACTTTTTCCCTCACTGTAAGGCCCACTGAGCTATGTAGCTCTTTTTGAGTAGCGACCTGGCCACTAATGATAGTGCAACGAAGTGGCTTAATCATCGCGTGGAAATTTATAGCAGCCAAATACTCTAAACGCGTGTTTATAAATGTGGAGGGACAAACCGGAGGACTCCGAGATAAATCCACCCGACCACGGGGAGAATACGCAAACTTAGGCGTCAGGGTCGGGATCGAACCAACGACCTCTTGCATACCCAGGTAACATCTCGCCACCGTGGCACCCCTAAATAATATAACAACGAACACAGAACCGGGGTCTCGACACATGCATCACCGAAACGCTGCTCCACACGTCGCACTGCCGTCCGTCGCGCTTCAACTCCCACGTAAACGTTCTCGGCGAACACCCTTTCACGGTGTAAATCCCCGGCTCCTTAGCACGAAAATCTGATGGCCTCGCAGTTGAGCGATCATGATGCCGCTCAAAGCAACCGCCGGCTCAGCGCCGCTCCCCGCAATGCACGGGAACCGCCCGTGCGCCCACACTTCAAACAAAGTGCTCGTGGCGCCCGGTACGATTCGGGCGATCCTTCAGACGGGAGCAGAGCCACCCCCATTAAAAGTTGAAGCAATGTCCTCCTTCGCAAACGAGCAGAGAAGGATGCGTGCCCTTTTCCCGCGCGCCGTTCTGATATGCTAATTTTTCCCAGGCGCGAAATAACAAGGTGCATTATTAAGCAGCCGGCCTGCCGGAGACCGGGAGCGATTCCCATTACTTTGTAGCCACTCGTTGTTACACTGAATTGGGAGGGCCCCATCAAAACAAAAGAGCCAGCAAATAAATGTAACCTTTTTTGAAACAGATGAGATTCTCGGTCTAGAGGAACTTGACGTTCATTGAAGCGTGCACGCGCGGTTTACCGCTTGTATTTTGTCCTTTCCTAGGTGTCACTCGTATATGTGACGGGATTTGAGGGCAAAACCTGAGTGAATTATGGCACAACCGCCAGGGCACACAATGGGGATCAAGGGATTTCGGCTCAAAAGACAATTCTTTGGCAGTCTCACAAACAATACAGGCATGGCTTCTATGCTAATTAAACTCATGTAATATTACAGTAGCTGATAAGCAGATTAGAATTAAATATTTTGTAGAATAATGCAATCGTAAGAGATGACTCCCGTCCGTCTGCACTGTCAGTCTATTGTCTAAAGACAGCATCAGATATTGCCGTCAACAATCAACATATTGTAAAAGGTCCTCAAGGACACCTTAAAATAATAAATTAAACTCCAGCAAGTTGTGTATTTTTAGCGGTGCATTGACTATAGACTTTTCTTTTTAAAGAAACATAGGCAGGGACTGTTCATCCAACAGTTTTATGTGGGACACATCCTTGGCATGTAATTTTTGCATTAAAATTTTAATGATTGAAATGGATTGTAAAGGTCAAACAGAAGACAATTATATGCTGGGGTTAAATGTGAGGAATTTAAATTGTGAAATTTCAGGAATCTCATCTCATCTCCCAGGAATCAGAGTTGGACAGCTCATTAAGGCGATCCTTGGGCTTAACTTTTTCTGCCACAAAAATGTCACATCACACCTTCAAAGAACGCCTTTACTGCTGGGGCTTGACACACATTTTGTCAAGGTGGCGTTCGGAGTTTTAGGATGTGGGCCCTGAAACCATCACCCTATGCTCCGAGTTGCTCCACTTCAAGAACATTGGCGTTGCTGGGAAACGTTCAAAAAGATTGTAATGTGATGTGTCCTGTGTACTTAACAAATGGGTCTCAAAAATATTGACACTGCCAGTTCACCATTACCACGACTCAGATTTGATTTTCTTTTTGGGTCAGATCCCATGAGAACAATGCCAATGTGTCGTACACCGTCCTAAACCCAAAACAGCTTCCATGTGGAGGATACTTTTTAAACGAAACGAAAAATTTTGGAGAAACGCCGCATTAAATACAAATGAGGCAATGTTTTTTTTTAGATATTGTTACCGTTTACTTATTTTCAGGAACATGTACGACTTGTAGTCTGTGGCACTTCGCTGCAGCTGTTGTCCGCTGGCCTAGCCGCCAGTTGGTAAAAAATCTGACAAGTACATTGGGCTTTGCTCGGGGATAAGCCTCGTGATTCCGACTTTACACGTGTTAAACTAGTCTTCTCAGGTATTCCTTAAGGGATGCCGGGCTTCAAAGGTAATACCCAACGTAGTTAAAGGAACACATCACAATAAAAAAGTGTACTTACCTGTGCGGGTGTGCTGATAACGTCACATCACCTATTTAAAGGCATCATAATTGGAGGATATTTTAACTGCAGGAGTTGAACTGATGATGATGACTGCAATTATCAGTGAAACGTCATACATAACTGTAAAACGTTACATGGATTGCTCTCCAACATAGCAGTCTGCTAAAGCAATAAAATATTGGCACGCTTGTTCCCTTGGTCGCGAAAGCCTACATTGTTGAATTCACCGTTACCAGGAAAGGGATAATAAGCATGAACAGCCATGCCGCACCAGGCCTTGAGACCCATGGAAACAAAAAAACCAGGAAGATGACGTGACAAGCATTGTGGGAAATTCTCATTTACAGAGCACATAACAAGAGCTGTGTTGACACCAGTGTATGAGCATGAAAAGCAACAGAGGTGATAAATCGTCTCCACATTCATTTATTTTAATGCAGTGTATCGCTACGTGAATCTCAGCATTAATGGAATTCCGTTAAGCCGACCATTATGCATTTCCACAGTTACATTGTAATGCATATTTTCAATTTACATCAGTGTATGTATCACTCTTTAACTATTGAAAGAGTTGTTTGCTACTGACTGCCAGTGTAAACATGTTCCAACACCAACTTTACACGAATATACCACTGTTTGTTCAAAGCCTCCACTATAAGGTTATTCTGCCCTCTCTTAAGCTCTGAAGTACAGTCGACCGCTGGATAAAAACAACTTACATTTATAATGTGCCCATAACACAATCGACTGAGAGTGCAGAAACACAAAGGAGGAAAGACAAGAGGAGCCGAGCAAGGGAAGGAGAGAAAAGACGCGATTAAGGGGTCTGAAAGCACGAACAAGGCAACGTCCATGCTTGTGTAGTGACATCGCGGATGTCACTGTGTGGTGCCGGCCCTAGAGGGGCACGGCGTGCGATGCACTCACATCGCAGACATCACGTGCGTAGCGACATCGTGAATGTCGCTGATTGATACCGTCTCTAGCGAGGCACGGCGTGCGATGCATCGTCATCACGGACACCCCGTAGGTGGGTGTAGTACCAGCCCTAGAGGGGGCTCGGTGAGAGCTGGGATAGCGCTCAGTGGCACCACGCGTGGCGTGCAGTGCCGACTCCTACAGGAGGGAGTGTGAGAGTGTCAGCCATGGGATGAGGTTACCCAGGGCCATGGCACTCTGGTTGACCCTGGAAGGCACGTGACGGGTAAGATCTACACAGGGGCCCCAGGAGGGGGCTTGGGGGTGGTCACGTGTCAGGGTGAGATCCTACGGGAAGGGTCGAGAAACGACGAGAGGTGTCTCGAAGGTGGTCGTGGCCAAGGGCGGGGTCAGCCACGACCCAGCTGGATATAAACCGGGTGCACAAAGGGACCGGGGTTCAGCGTTGTTGCCATCATCTGAAGATCTACGATCTACGTCCAAGAGAAGAAGTCACCAACACGTGGACGAGGACCCCAGCTAGGGTCGTGTCTGTTGTAGCTACTCCCAGTAACTAGCCTAGTTAGCCTGGTGCTCCACCACCATAGGTTATCTGGTAAAGGGGCAGTAACCCCATTTGTGTTAATGTGTTGGTGTTAATAAATGTGTTGCCTCCAAGAAGTACGTCTGTGAATCCACTACACTTGTGTTGCGTACATCACATGTTTTATATCATGAATAGTTCAGTCGTTTGTCAATCCAATGCTAGATTAAGGTCTCCCCCACACCGCATTGGTCACGGGGTAGTTTGACCGTACTTCACCGTGCTGGTCGGTGTGAAATGAAGAATGGAGATCGTAAAAATGAACGGATCGGATATCGCTCGTCGCTGATGTTATTTAGTTGATGCCTTTGTCTCAACACGCCTGGATTATGGGAATGCCCTCTACACACAGAGCTATCCACTTGGTGCAGAGATTCCAGTTAAGTGCAGAACGCAGCTGCCCGGATAATCTGGCGGGGTTGCCGTTTTGAACTCATTATGCCCACCCTCCACACCACCTTGCACGAGCTACCAGGCCGCTTCCGCATCCAATTCAAGGTCGCTGCTCTCCAAACCTACAAAGCACAGTGTAGCTTGGCCCCCTATCTACACGCAAAACCGCATCTCCCTCCAACATCAGGCACATTCTGTACACTCCGCTATTCCACGGGAACGGCGCGAGACTTTCACCGGCCCAGGATTGTACACCCGATGACGCTGGGGGTTACGGAGCCTTCTCAAGCGCAGCTCCAAACATCATGCCGAGTGTCTCTCAATTCCGTGGTCTGGGCAAGACACAACTAACTTAGACTTGCCTTCCCATAAAATCTACAATGTAAAATAAAAAACTGCCTCATTAATTTTCATTTATTTTATTTCTTTGTATTTACTACTTACCTTTTTGATGCTCGTCATTGCGCACGGTCGACACTTTATTTTGCCCGCGGTTACACGTTACTTTGCTCAGTCGGTCTTAGCCGTTGAGGTCGTGACAGGTTTTTGTTCTCGTTCCTGTTACTCCATGCCCCGGTACCGTTCCTTTGTAATGCACACTGATGCCCACTTTATTGAGGGCCGATATTGGCACGTAAAATAAAGATGGCTTTATTGTCTATAATTGCCTGCGAAAGCAAAGCAGGTTGCATGGCGCATTGTCTCCCGAACCAATAAACAACCGCTCCTCCCTCAGTGTATGATAAGTATGAATATACCACGATGGTTTGTTTTAAATGTCTGATTAAACTTACAGCATTTGTGAGGCTTCTGACTTCCCGTAATTCTCCAATGAAAGCCTCCATTGTTACACCACCTTATCTGAAAAACAAACCAGAGGGTACACATTAGCAGATATTCCTGTGCTATTTCAGGAATATTTTGATGTTTTTCCTGGATTTTATGTTTGCACGTGCACAAAGTCACTTCAAGATGTTTTCCTGTTCATGTTTTTGTTTGTTGCGGTTGCACCCGATTCAAGAGCCGAATGGCTCACAGGGCTATACCAAATAAATGAAAGATGAAAAATGAAATGAAACAGAGATCAGTCCTGGGAGCCTGCAGCAGTGATTCATATTCAGGTGCTTAGATACTTCAGAGGTAAGCTTTATTCTAGATTTGAAGTTTTCGTGACTGCAAAGATCCATACTCTTTGGTTCTTTCGGTAACGTCACGTGACTTTACCGAAAGAACCAAAGAGTAGGTAAGCTTTAGCCATGAGATGTGAAATTCCATCCATTATCAATCCACTAATGGATTAATGCCTTTCCGCACCATGTAAGGCACTGTGGTTTTGTAACCATACTTCACCACGCTGGTCAGTGCGGGTTGCAAGACTGGTTCTGATTTCAATTGCTACTCATGCAATGTTATCTGTGGCCTGGAATCAAACTCGGGCGGCCGGTTTACGGTGTAGCACGTTAACCACTATTACCGCTCAAGCTGGGAGGCACTGTTAGGTTTTGCTAATTATCTTTGAGTAATGAGTGTAGGTTATACAATATTCTCAGCTGGTTAAGGACATTCTATGGTTCTTTCGGTAAAGTCACGTAGACAAATAATAACAATAAATGAATAAAAAGTGAATAAAAAATAATAAAATATAACGACGTTTCGATCGCAACACAAGCGGTTGTCATCAGGAACAGGAAGGTTAGCCTCTGAGGGCAAACTGTTTATAAAGGTTTAGAGATGGGCGGGGCAATTAATGTTAATGTAGGAGAGGGCCCCAACACCAACAGTAGGTCTACACCAATCAAAAAGCTGTTTATAAAGGTTTAGAGATGGGCGGGGCAGCTAATGTTAATGTAGGAGAGGGCCCCAACACCAACAGTAGGTCTACACCAATCAAAGCATTGCACCTGGCTCCACACACCCACACTACTGACGGTGGAAGTGGACAAGAAAACACAAATCAAGTCATGACCCAAAGTGGTTGATGACATCTTTCCAATGATTGCTGAGTTTAAAACCGTCGTCTCAGTTGAAATTGTGTCTGTGTCTGTACATATGGATGGCTTCGTGAACAAATCTTTTGATTTGAAGCTTTCGTGACTGCAGTAATTCATATTCTTAGTTTTTTCGGTAAAGTCACGTTAAAGGGAAACAACAAAATAATAAAATATATATGGCTTTCAGACAGCATACATTACAAAAACACCTCGTCTCCCCCCTCCTCCCTCCAGAACACAGATGGACCAGTCCCAAACATCTGTGTTCTGGAGGGAGGAGGGGGGAGACGAGGTGTTTTTGTAATGTATGCTGTCTGAAAGCCATATATATTTTATTATTTTGTTGTTTCCCTTCAACGTGACTTTACCGAAAAAACTAAGAATATGAACAAATCTTTGTTGATATCCAGTCGGCTTGCAGAGTACCATCGTCTTAGAGAAATCTATTTCATGTGAGCCAGCCGCATTAAAGTAATGATCAGCCACAGCAGAAGTATTGGTCCTGCCGTGTTTCAGATCTGCCTTATGTTCACGAACACGGTCCGAGACATTTTGATTTAAAGCTTTCGTGACTGCAGTAATTCATATTCTTAGCTCTTTCGATAAAGTCACGTTGAAGGGAAACAATAAAATAATAAAATATATAAAACAATACAAATTCTCACGATGTTTCGACCATAACACAAACGGTCGTCATCAGGTGTGCCGGTTTGCATTAATTTATTTATTTTTAAACGGTGTATTTCTTTACTTATAAAAACGTCAGCGCCACGCGCAGCGATTTGGCAGTTTATTTAGAAGGACTAGTCCATCTATGTTCTGAAAAGAGGAGGGGGGAGACGAAAAATTAATGTATGCTGTCTGAAAGCCACCGTAAGCGTGAACAATCAATTAAGACCTGAAATGGTTTATCAAATCTTTCCAATGATTGCTAAGCCAGAATCCATCTTCTCGGTTGAAATTGTCTCTGTGCTTGTATATGTGGATAGCCTCATGAACGAATCTCTCATGGTAGCCCGATGGCTGAGACATGTCATTTGGTTTCCCCAATATAACTGCTGCAGCAGATACAGCTTAGTTTATAGACGCAGGGATATTGCATGTCAGGAATCTTGTCCTTCACAGATGGGATCAGGTCTCGAATTTTATGCACTGTGTTAAATCGGACCTGGATCTTGGGTTTGTTCAAGATTTTGGAAATATTTTGGTTATCCCTGCTATGTAAGGTAAGGTGATGATTTTGATTGGATCTTCAGATGGCTCGTTCATCACGGTTGGGGTGATGGCTTTGCGGATTGTGTAGTCAGAATATCCATTCCATGGTAAACTGGACTCCCGTTGTACATTGGACTTCCGTGGTGAAGTGGACTTCCATGGGAAACTGGACTCCTATGGTAAACTGGACACCCATGGTAAACTGGACACCCGTGGTAATTTGGACTTCCATGGTGAAGTAGACTTCCATGGTAAACTGGACACGCATGGTAAACTGGACACGCATGGTAAACTGGACACGCATGGTAAACTGGACACGCATGGTAAACTGGACACCCATGGTAAACTGGACACCCATGGTAAACTGGACACCCATGGTAAACTGGACACCCATGGTCGAGGGGTCGGCAACCAGCATAACAAGAACGAGCCATCATTGTTTAACAATTTCCAGAGCCCGCACTGCAGCCCTGAGATATCCGCTGGGGTCTCGGCCTACACAAGGCGCGCGTCAACGCCGCAAGCAACACCGCAGTTGCTGCGGGTTCCCTGATGGTGAACAACAACAACACCAACACCACCACCGATCGCTCTGTCACGCCACTCGTAGAGCGGAGTGGGCCTCCGGGCGGCGTAGTCACGAGGCGGTGGGAGCGAGTGACCCCCACACATGACCCCGCCCGCCACGGACGTGGGCCACGTTTCTCCCCCCGGGTGGACAGAGCCGCCGGGGGTGGGGTGAAGAGGTTTTAGAGTCGTGCCCACTGGGTTCGACTGCCGCGACCGGAGATCGAGCGAGGGCACGCGAACTTCTGGGGTTGTCGGTCCACGGCGAGATGCTTGTTGTTGTTGATGCCCATCGTGACACTGCGGGCGGTGGCGGAGGCTACGACACGAAACGAACGCGGGCGAACGCGGAACGCGCTGGGGGGGACCACCATCACCACCACAACCACCATCCTCATCACTACCACTCTAACCACCACAATCATCACCATCATCACCACCACAATCATCACCATCCTCATCACCACCACTATCACCACCACAGTCATCACCATCTTCATCACCTTCATCACCACCATTACCACCACTATCACCACCACCTTCATCACCACCATTACCACCACCACCACCACCACCTTAATCACCATCACCACCGCCGTCACCGCTAGACCCGCGACTTAACTGCAAGGCGACTCTCGGCGTTCAGCCCTCAGCGGTTGAGCTCGAAACGGAAAAAGTCGCCCGAGATTTCAAAACAGCGACCTCGCCGGGCCGCGCCGTCATCCCATTGGTCGGCACACGCCACGTGAGCCCACTCAGCCAATCCGCTGAATGCTGCCCGTCACGGCCATGTTGGTTAAGGACATCGAACTTTTTTTTATTTTTGCAAAATATTCCCTCCCCAACCCGGTAGGGTGATGCTACGCTACTGTTACTGTTCGGGAACACGTCTCCCCGACAGGCGTTTGGGAAGATATTTGTTTTTCTCTCTCAAGTCGACGAAATATGTAGATCCCTAACCAAGATGGCTGCAAGGGCGCTGACGTTGTTGACAAGGGAACATCATAATCTTGGTTCTTTCGGTAAAGTCACGTAGAAGGGAAACAATAAAATAATGAAAATATAAAACAATAAAAAATATAATTGTATACATTTACTGTTTCCCTTCTACGTGACTTTACCGAAAGAACCAAGAATATAGTTTTCATAGTTCTATGTATTTTGGTATAGCCCTGTAAGCCATTCATCTCTTGAATCGGGTGCACCCGCAACAAACAAAAACATGAACAAGAAAACATCTTAAAGTGACTTTGTGTGACTGTGCAAACAGAAAATCCAGGAAAAAAAAACATCAAAATATTGCTGAAATAGCACCGTACACCAACGCTGTGCAAAAATCCCAGTGGGATACAAGTCAAACAACAACCACAAGACAACTAAGATTAAGGCCATCAGTCTTAACTCCGTACTACAATAAACAAAAACATGGCCACAACCAAAAAAAAACGTTTTCGAAATCACCAAAATAAAATCCATAAATGCAATGCAACGGTGATCGTAGGGACTGTGACCGAATTTTTTTTAACAATAAACTACAGAAATAACATGTGAATCCTTGCAGACACGAAAGCTTTAAAGGGAACGTCGTCTCTGCAGTTGTTCTCGATTTGGAGGCGCACAGATTTGTGAACAGTGAAGTTGGTGGCTCTCGTTCTGGAGCTCGCACAAGCGTCGGTGTACGGGTGACTTTTCTGCAATATTTTGCTGTCTTTTCTTTTGTATTTTCTGTTTTGCACAAAGTCACGCAAAGTCACTTTGAAGATGTTTTTCCTATTCATATTCTTAGCTCTTTCGGTAAAGTCACGTTGAAGGGAAACAATAAAATTATTAAATATATATAAAACAATAAAAAATTATCATGTTATGGTCGAAACGTCGTGAGAATTTTTTTATTGTTTTATATATATTTTATTATCTTATTGTTTCCCTTTAACGTGACTTTACCGAAAGAGCTAAGAAAATGAATTACTGCAATCACGAAAGCTTTAAATCAAGATGTTTTTCCTGTTCGTGTTTTTTTTGTTTGTTGCGGTTGCACCCGATTGAAGAGCCGATTGGCTCACAGGGCTCTACCAACATAAATTAAACTGAAGCAACAATCGCTGGCTGGCCGCAATTCGTTCTCTTAAGCGACCTCGTAGTCTCGTTGTTCTGTTTGTAATTTACCAACGGAGCACGTGCGTCCACCGTGGCCTGTAACCACCACGCGACTCACGGCTCGGGGGTTCGGGGTGGGGGCGCTTCCGGTGGCTGCCCGGATGCGGAAGTGGGCGGCGCGCGTGGGGGCCGCCCGCGTCACCCGGAGCGTCGCGGGCGCCCAGCGGCCGCCGATCGCCGCCGCCGCCGTCGTCGTCACGAGGAGCAGCCACAGCCGCCACAGCCGCCACAGCAGCCGCGCTACGCACAGCGCCCCGCAGCTACAGATAGCAGCAGTAGCGCCACAGATACCACTCCTGCAGAGACTGCCCCGGCCGCTACTTAGGCGTTGGTAGCTGACAGCAGCGCGGGCCTCACGTCCCAGCACCACCACCACCACCACACCACCACCACCGCTCCATCCGTCGACTGAGCCACAATGCGCGCCCTTCACTCCCTGTGTGCTGCTGCGACAGCCTCGCTGCCGCCGCTGCTGCTGGTGGCGCTATCGCTGCTGCTAGCGGCCGCTGCGCGCGTCGATGGAGAAGAGACGCGCGCAGTCGAGGCGACCGCTGCTGCTGCTGCGAATTCGCCGAACATCACGGCCGTGACGCGGAGGCGTGGCGCAGTCGGCCCCAACTCGACGGCGGCGGCGCCGTCGCCGTCCATGCACATCCTGGGGGTCTCCCTCGACGCCTCGGTGCTGCGCCGCGCCGCTTACTTCTGCCTCGGGGTCGTGGCCGTGCTCGGCTTCTTCGCTGCGCTGCGGTGAGGCCCTCACCCCCCCCCCCTCGTGCTCCTCACCCCCCTCCTCGTGCTCCTCACCCCCCCTCCTCGTCCTCCTCACCCCCCCTCGTGCTCCTCACCCCCCCTCCTCGTGCTCCTCACCCACCTCCTCGTGCTCCTGACCCACCTCCTCGTGCTCCTCACCCCCCCCCCCTCGTGCTCCTCACCCCCCCTCCTCGTGCTCCTCACCCACCTCCTCGTGCTCCTCACCCCCCTCCTCGTGCTCCTCACCCCCCCTCGTGCTCCTCACCCCCCCCTCGTGCTCACCCCCCCCCCTCGTGCTCCTCACCCCCCCCCCCGTGCTCCTCACCCCCCCCCCCCCATGCTCCTCACCCCCCCCCCCCCCCCCCCGTGCTCCTCACCCCCCCATCGCTCGCCCTCATCCGCCTCCCCTGGGACTGTGCCCGGCCACTGGGGGAGACTCAGAACTATTATCCCCTGGTAGAGCTGCTCTGCCAGTGTTGGGATGTTTTAGCGATACAATGTCACGTTTACGTTATGGTCCGGCCCAACATTGTTGTATGACGCGCCACTCACATTATTTTGTATCAATCCGGTGGAGTCATTTACCGAACATGGACATTTTGTGTTGTTTGTGTTCATTCGCAAAGCCGCGACCCGTGTTGTACGCGCCGCCTTGTGCCGCGTGATCTACGAGAGGGGTGTTTATTGTTACAGCGCTCCCCGAGGCCTTTGTGTGAGGAGGGCGGAGGGAGCAGGAGGAGACACTCCTCCTCCCTCCTCCTGCCACTTGACCCCGGGGCACAGCGACAATTACTGGGCCACTCGCTTCAGGTTGGAGCTGCGCCCCTTCCCCGAGTACACGCGGAGTTGATTTGCCCAGTGATGTGGTTGAATAATCCGGAGACCACTGCGTGATATTTCTCTCTCGCTCTGCGTGTCTCCGATGAGCACGGTTGGACACTTTCGGTGGCGAAATAAGTTCCAGAACGTCCGCGATGGTGGCCTTCCATTTCGCTGATGAATTGATGAACTCAACAACTTTGGATGAGATTACTCCCAATTGAATCCAGTTCACATTGCTTGTGCTGCTTAGTAGTCTGTTACCTCTGCATTTCCCAGTCAAAACACATTCGTGCCCAGTTGCGTGTTCTTTCAACACGTGTCCAAGAAATCTAACTTGATATTGTATCATCTTTTTTAAATCTTTGTGTCAGTAATACATTCATGGTGTTCATCTTGTCTCTGTGCATACGTGAACTTTCTAAGCAGCTAAGGGCTCGACAAGAGGTCGACATTCTCCCTTGCAAGGGAGGCATGGATGAGGTTCCAGTTTGTAGAGTTTTTTTCAACAATTATATTTCATGATAAAAAAGAAACAAAAAAAATAACCACTTTACTAGGCGTTCTCCCAGTAAAGTGTATGTATAAAGTGTATGTGTGCGCACGATGTATATTCGCGACAGGCAGGGGCGGAGCCACAGGGGGGGCTGGGGGGGGGGCTCAGCCCCCCCTGATATTTTGGGAAAGTTGGTCATCAGGATAACCGGATATCCGGCTGATACAAAATACTGCAGGCTGCCACCTCGTGCTGCCCTGCAGGCTGCCACCTTGTGCTGCTGCCCTGCAGGCTGTCACCTTGTGCTGCCCTGCAGGCTACTTGAGCGGCAGCCTTTCGAACTTATCGAACTTATTAGCCACGTCAGCGGCTCCGACCTATTAATAAACTCCGCGTTTCAAATACAATAAAATTTGTTTTTTACGTTTGTGGCGCCCATTGGAAAATATAAACACACTGGATATCTCAGAATGTTGAAGTCAGCCCCCCCCCCCCCCCCCCCCAAGTCAAAATCCTGGCTCCGCCCCTGGCAACAGGATCTGTTCACGCGTTCGCCGTAGCACAATATTGTATGGTCCTGGGGCTTACTGTTCAGAGGTGACCTGAATATAAATGGTCACTTTAGTTTGTTGTTTGTACGACTTGAGCTTGAACCCCTGATCGAATTCACATTCCCGTTGAAAAAAGAAATGGGCCATTAAGGAAATTGTAATTTAATTTTTAATGTTACCTGACGTACAAGCCTCCCCACCCAACGATGCCTGTTCTACCATTTGTTTTGCCGTCAGCTGTGTTTGCAATTGCAGAATAGTATGCACCCTTAAAGCAACAAGAGCCATTGTGTGTTGTATTGCTGGTGCTTGTGGGGATTCCTGAGTGAACAGCACCATCAAGGGCGGCTGCGGTGGCTAGGAGATGTTAACTACCTCGCCTGGTATGCAGGAGGTCGTGGTTTTGATCCCGACCCCCTGACGCCTGCTGCTGCTGTATATTTGGAGTTTGCGTGTCTCTCTCCCCCAGTGGTAGCGTGGATTTTTCTCTGGGTCCTCCGCTCCACATTTAGAATCAACATGCGCTTGTATTATTTGGCTGCTATACATTTCCACATGTTGATAAGCCACTTCGTTGAGCAATCATTTGTGATGGCCAGGTCGCCTTTTGAAAAATATTTAAACAGCTCAGTGGGTCTTATCTGGTCCAACAAAAAAAAAGTTGAGTTTTATCGTTGAGCCGTCGGCATGCCTGAAGGAATCCACAGTGACCTTCTGCATTGGGCCAGAGAAAGTCGAGTTTACGAGATAAGCTCCCCTCCCGAGTCTGCCGTTGGGCACAGGGCCACCTGTGTGCGCTCCGAGAGGGTTACACGTCACCCATATTGGATTACGCGTTGTGCAACAAGTGTCAGAATGGCCTGACGTCATCACGTCTGACATTAATTGTGGCGTGAAGTTTGGGCTCTGGTTGGCCTCCCTCGTGTATTAAACGGGAGCTTCAAACTGCGACTCGGTGATTTACGGCGGGCAAGCAATAGCTCGCCTAGTATTCTGCCCGTGATTATGCCAAATCGATTTTTGTTCGTCTTGTTTGCACCACTTTGTTGCGTTTTGAATGTGCTGTGTCATCCCTTCCGTTAGCCAAAAGGGAATGCTCGCATAAATTGCGAGTAATGTATTCTTACGCGGACGATTCAATACGAGCATTTTGAGATTGTTTGACTTTTAAATCAGTAAAACATTACTTTCCTGAGTCGTAAGGCGTGTAGCGCTGCAGTCAGATGAGAAGTAAATTAATCTAGGAGTGCGTGTGTGAATTCACGTGTGATTGCACCCGTGACTGCATGCTTCAAGTTATCAGGTGAGAACTTTAGAAGACCAGGATGAGCCCCATTTGCAAGAGTGACCTGGGAGCATTAGTCTACCATTAGGGGGTGAAGATTGCTCGCATAATCCCAATTGAGTAATTTGCGGTGGAATTTTCTAATTGTGACCCTGCCTGACGCCGGTGCGCACAAGGTCTAGGTCTATCCCTGCGAATGACATCGGAGCGATCTTTAACGGTTGCTGTGAAGCAGACGGCGCACAGTATTGCTACGGCCACATTAATAACCGGGCCGTCCGCTGGATTCTAACTGTGAACCTCTGCAACGTGCCGTGAATGCGCTGCCGCAGGGCCACATCACCACCTCTTGTACCATTACAAGAGGGCGCCGCGGTGGTGAGATGTTAATTCCCTCGCTTGCTATACAGGAGGTCGTCGGTTAAAGCCTGACCCTGACACCTGCTGTATATTTGGAGTTTGCGTGTCTCTCTCTCCCCCTCAGTGGTTGCATGGATTTTTCTCCGGGTCCTCTGGGTTTTTCCCTCCACATTTAGAATCAATGTCACGCGTTTAGAGTTTTTGGCTGCTGTACATTGCCACGTGATAAGCCATCTTCGTTGAGCTATTGTTTGTGATAGCCAGGTTGCTTGAGCAAAAGAACTACGCGGCTCAGCGGGGCCTTACCTGGTTACGTGTGTGCACGGCATCATCACACAGAATGAGGAGACGGTTCCGGAAGCCGCGGAAGTACGGCGTGATTGTGACGCCGGCGGACGAGGTGGAAATGGACCCGCTGGCGGACGACCTGGGAGACGAGGACGAAGATACGACGCTGTTCGAGGCCAAGCGCCAACGGTAGCGCATCTGCCCACGTCGACTCGCGCGCGTCTGTGATGGAATACACGCGCAAAAAAACACGGCTTCACCGCCCACACCAGTCACATCGGCTGTCATCCACACTCCGGTCGGATTAACCTCTGCTCTCCTGAACAGAACGTAAACTTTAAATTGGGTTCGTGTCGGTGCACAGTTCAGTCCCTGCGTGCCTGAACACAAAGGCATCAAAAGTAACACCCTTGCCAGGACGCACGCATCAAACGCACACACTCGCTTACTCACACCCGCTCGCACCCACACACACCCTTCCACTCAAGGTGCCACCACCCAGACAGGACACACCCAAATCTGGGACCCTCTACACCATGTGCTCGCAAGTCTGTGACAGACTGATCCCTGTTGCAGACAATCTTCACACAAACGTGTGTTGACTAAATTCTGCGAGTGGCTCACAGAATATACTTTTTACTAATTAAAGCTTCTGGGGGTTTACTCCCAACAGTTTTTCATAACAGCTACTAATGTGTAAAAAAATGTAATTTGTTTTTCAAAGAAAACACTCCCATGTAGTTAACGTAGCTGGGAAGGAAGTAAAACCAGTGCAACAGCATGCCTGATTTAATACGCATCGCCATAAACGTGTGGCCAAGAGGATCGAGGTGGCACCATTTCATCGTTTGCCGTCCCCTTGTTCTGCAACTACTTCCTCCCGCTCTTTGTTCTCCAACTTCATCTCGCGTCCAAGTCCTTGCTCAAGACCTTCCTCTTCTCCGCCTATTACTGCTTCTCCATTGTGACGTCTTCCACGCCGTTCTAACCGCAGTGTCCCGTATTTGTCGCACGCCTCTCTACGTATCCTCCCATTTGCTTTTTCTCCCAACTTTCCCCCCCATTTCTCAACAACTTTGAGGATAGTGTTGCACTTCGACAAACAATTGCTCAGTACTCGGGAGTCCTGTGTGCCGAGTGAAACCCCCCCTCCCCCCGCCCCCAACCTGGTGTTGATGGGACATTGCCGTTCCTCTGTGTTGTGCGCACGCCAGGTGATGTCAGAGCGGCTGCTCTTTCCCAAAGGGCAGCTCGTGGAGCAAGGAGAAAACCTATTTCCCCCATTCCCAGCCTTGCGATCGCGAGGGCGATGGACCAATCAAACAGCAATGACGAGCGTTGCCATGGCGGTCTCAAGGAAAGAAGCGTCATGGACACAAGGAGAGGGCCATCCATAATTATCCTTTGTAATGAGGGCGGCGGCGAATTGCCGGTAGTGCTTCTCTGAGAGCGCGGCGTTACAATATCAGATATCAGACGGAGCCCGTTTGCAATGCTGTCGTCGGTTCTCGTGTCATGCCGGTTAATTGGATTGTATCAATTGAACGCCCAGCTCCAGGGTCACCTGGGTGCACATGCAGTGTCGGATCGTAAACCCCGTTCCTGCGGCCCTGCCTTCTTCCAAGGAGGATGCCTCTCCACATTAGTCATTTTAAATGGACCGGCACAAACGTGGAGTGTGTCCTGCATAATTTGCGTGTTAGAGCAGAACGGCTGGAAAAGATGTGCAAGGGTCGAGGTTGTTTCTCGGTCTTCGAGTTTGAAAGCCACTGCACGACTGAGCTTTGCTGTACGGGCTTATGAAGCAAATTAAGCCATTACTCTGCAGTCGTGAATATGATGGTGGCATATACTGACCCGTCGGAGGAACTCGTTTGATTTGTACGCGTATGACCACTTTGTACGAATGGTAAATATGTCCTTAGCACACTTTCCGTTGGGCCTGTAGCATGACGATATTTTTTTCTCGAAGGGTGACGGTTGGGAAATGAATATATTTTTGGGGAAATTGTTAACTTTTTCTATTTAATATGCACCAGCTATACACGTGGGGTGTTTTTTGTTGTTGGTTTCTACAGGGCAGTTGTAATTCCTTAATGTGGCTGCTGCAGTCTGTTTTTAAAGAGTCGTGTAAAAAAAACAAAGGTAATTGTTTTTATTTGCTGGTGATGGGTATTTAAGTATAATTATGACGGGGATGCTCTCTTACATGTTTACACGGTTCTTTTCGGGGGCCTTGCCAAGCGTAGTTGGACGGATACTGTGAACGCACACGTGTGTCTGGGCTGTTTGACACTGGTTTGCAATAATAAACACAGGTAATGCGCAGTATTGTTCGAGAGGTGGCCTGTTCATTTCATTTGTGGTTGTGATTTTTTTTTTCAAGTATAAAGGGCGAAACTTGACGTCTACTTTTCTGCAACCTTTTGTGGTATTAAAGGCCCTAACCTTGGTGTGTGTGTGTGTGTATATAAAGGGTTGAAAGATTATCATTCTTGTGTGGACAGTGAGTGCAAGTAAGTGAAATCGTGACAATGAAGTAAGAAAGCCCCTTTGTGCCTCGACATCTGTTTATAGAAGCTGGGTGCGGTGGCACACTCGTGAAGCCTCGCTCTGGAGTAGAGGGTTGGTGTCGCGTGTGTGAAACGTGGAATGCAAGGCGGCCAGAAGATGGCAGCACTACAATCTGGTTCATGAATCCGTGTCGGCCTTCAGGCGTTATGGGTCTTCTTGGAATACTCCAGCATCTCCATGCAAAACACTCCTTAAAATATCCTATTCAGGATTTTGCTAGATGAGGCGTGAGAATGGGTAAGCCGGTCCCGATTACACACAGGGCGTTGTTGATTCGTTCGCGATATGCTTTGACTTTGCCGTGTGCTGCGAAATACGATGACTGCACCTGTTTAGTTGCCGGGTGCAGTCGGTATCTGCTGTTGCGTAATACGCGATGTACATTCTTCACCCAGAGCCACCAAATGACACCGCGTTACCCCACTGAAGGAACAAACGGCAAGTAGACCTTGCCCCGCGCAGGTCACGTGTCTGCAGACAAGGTGATGGGTTCACTGTGACAGGAAGTCTGACGCACCGGGCTGGTCCCTCTGCATTGGGTGCGGCTCATTCTGAAACTGCCTAGGAATTCGGAACAGATGGACTTATCTTGACGCTATATAAATAAAACCATTTCTGCGTGCAAACTGATTTTTTTTCGTTTCTGTGGCCTTGTGGGTGCGTGCCTTGCACATGTGCGATTTGTGTAACCGAATGTGGTTTGTACGTGTGGTCAATCGCTCGCCATCAGGATTTTATTTACTTCCCTGGAACTTTATCCGGCTGCGCTGACAGGAAGCTGTTTACAGGTTGACACATTTCACCAAAGTTCACTAAATATGACAACACAAGCAATGGAACACACAAATGCAAACGCTTTACAGATGGCGTAAAAGCACCCAAGATATTTTTTCAACCGCTGCTGTTGAACGTCGCACACGTTCGGTCCGTGCGTGTGTACGTTGAACTTCCTTCGCACCGTACGTAGCCCACCGTGCTCATCGGAGGTGCGGGGTGAAGGACAGCAAATGTAGCACAAAAAACAGCTCGGAAGAAATTCGTCGGCTTATGGTCGGGCGGTTGTATAAAAAGGGCGCTTTTCTTGCACAAGATTTGTTCACCTCGCCACCTTACAATGGGTGGCCGGCACACTCCGACGCGGTGCAAGTGAACCAGAAACGGAGCCTCATTGGCGGTAGGGAAGTTCTCTCCCCAACTAAACCGCTCAACTGTCTCGACTGGGACACTGCTGCGGACAGGACGGCCCTCCTGGGACACCCGTGTCCAGCCGACACGACTATGAAATAGCGGGTGGGGAAGGGGACTTCACACAGCCGTCAAACCTGTGCGACCTGTTCTTAAATGTCCGGGTGGAGCATCTGTCGGGGTCGCTTGCCCCCCGACTCCTCCGTCGTGATCGAGCTACCGCTCCCCGACTGCTCTGTCGGGTGCGGGCTACCGCCCCCCCCCCCCCCCCAATTCCTCGCTCCCTTGTACCCCCGACTTTGCTGCTGCCCCCCGCGTATTCATGATTCAATCGGTGGAACTGACCGCTTTACGCTTACTGACGCGCTACGCGGGCTCAGGGGCGGACGTGCTGCGGTGAGCGCGCCCGCGGAGTGAAACCCCGTCTCGTGCGTAAACAAAGGAATCACGGCGCGCAGGCTCGAGTAAAATGACACACCCGTGCGTAAACACAGAAAGCACAGCGCACACGCGCGAGTAAAATTACACACCCGTGCGTAAACACAGAAACCACGACGCGCAGGCTCGAGTAAAATGACACACCCGTGCGTAAACACAGAAACCACAGCGCGCAGGCTCGCCACCCCACGCACTCCCCTTCGCACTCACAGAGACAACACGACACGGTTTATACTCTACGGACGATTTATTCCCCACGAATAAACAAACTAAACTGTGCGTGTCAGTGCGGACCAGCAGGACAGGTCTAACCTATCTCTCTACTGCCTGATACTTAATCGGCCTGTCCGCTCGCTATTCGCTCTCAGAATGTCGCCCCTTTTGTCTTACCGCTCTTCCTTGTACTTACGGTCCGACCTCGCAGCGATGGAGGTCGCGGAAAGTTGATGCTGTAAACGGAATCTGGCTGTTCTCTGCCCCGTCTCACGGACGTGCGAGTAACAGTGAGGTGACGACTCTTCGATCCCTCCCTCCTGTTGATCCCCAGCGAAAACGGCCCTGTGCTTTTTTAAAGCGTCCCTTTTTATGCTCCCTTCAAAGCACTCGCGCCGCCAATCCGCGGTGCATCACGGGTCAGGCCGCCAATCCGCGGTGCATCACGGGTAGAGCCGTTAATCCGTGGTGCATCACGGGTAGAGACGCTAGCCCGCGGGTGCACCATGGGTAGAGACGCTCAACCCGCGCTGCCCCGCTCCCCACCTGCCTGCTGGTCCGCGTGTGTCCTGGGCATCTCCTCACTGCGGTTCTCAGGGAGTTCGCCGTGGTCATTTAAGTTAAGCCACGGCGCCGCAGTGCCATTTGGCCTGGGGGGGGGGGGGGTACCTGCCAATTCCCTGACCCTGAGAAACCGTGGAGCACCCCCACGAGGGGGCCTCTCGGGTAAAAACTCATGTCAGGTGCCCCCCCCCCCCCCACGAGGCCCTACTTGAGTGTGTGTGTTTAGGTGGGGGGGGGGGGGGGGCGGGGTAAGTGCTGTGATGGGAGCCGGGTGGCTTCTCGGTCGCAGCAGCACAGCGACGGCCCCGGTTTCGACGGAGCGTCTTCGCTGTTGTGGCACCACACATCCACTCTCCCGGGTATAACCCCTGTCTGCTGAAACCTGTTTGCAGTCTCATTGCCGACATCGGATAGATTGCTTGCGCGAAGGCTAAACCCGGTCTTCTCCAAAGACATCAGAAGTATAGATTCCTACATCAATGTGTCTAACCTGGCAGACCCTTGTCGGTCATTGCCACATTGTTGCACCTGATCAACACGTCTTTCCCGGCCACTACCCCTTACGAGTTGTGCTTGGGCTAAATGGAATTGCCCTCGGTTCTACGAAGCTTATGCTGTCACTTATTTTTGTCTCTGACCATTCGTCCTAAAAGGCCCATTTTTCGCAGCAGGCTCCCCATGCCAGTCGATTGGCATGTCTCTGGGATTCACCGACTTTAGTCCTTCAGGACTTCCTCTGGTCAGCTGGGCTAAGCTAAGCCACCAATCGAGGTTATTAACCACACGAGATAAGGAATACTGCCTCATACAATATCCGACGTGTCCAGGGGGCACCATTATGTATTGAACATGTGCAACTTGGATCAAGGGACCCTTTTGGCCATTGATACCACGTGGCCCAAGGTCACGTGTAATAGCCTAGTGGGCCCTCCCCTCTTTTGACATCATCTTGACGACCTCTGCCCTGAGACAATTCAGCTTCTCGCTTTCTTTGCACTGTGTTCAAGTGTTTAAGGTGTTCACAGGAGGCCACGTGCTGCACCTTTGGGTGTCGAGGACAAAGCCGTGAACCTCGAGGGCCTCAGCCACCTCGGACACGGATCACACTCGCTCCACCCTCTGACGTGCCATCCTCGGCATATCGTCAAGACACATATAGATGGGGTTGACCCCTTTTCCTGAGTTAGGCCACCACTAATACCATAACATTGGTGAATGCCATCAGCGATGCCAATAATCCGAAAGGGAATACTCGGAATTGCCAGTGTCCCCCCATCACCTTAACCTTAGGAACGTGTGGTCTCGCCTTCCCCAACTGGACAGAGGTGAGCGTTTTTTTTAAAGTATAATTATGAAAGCAAGTCGCATGTCCTCGAAGCTTTCACGTAGAGTGAATAGTGAATCCCTTGCACCACGCGGTGGGGAGCTGCACTGTGTGGGCACCAAGTGAGTGTGGGGGCAAACCGACCAGACCTATTTGGCCTTAGGGCGACTCAAGCACCGCGCAGCGAGTACGGTACTCTGGGCGTTCGTGTCTTGGTCGTGTCCCACGTTCACCGAACCCCCGAGACTGCGCGGCACGTCTCAGTGGGCCGCGTCACCTCTCGCTCACCCTATGGCAGTCCTCGCCTGAAGCGCCCGGGAGAAGCCCGTCAATCCTGTGGGGTGAAGCCTCCACTCGACCGAATGAATGAGCGACTAATTATGAATGCAGTTTTGTGGGTGCCAGGCACACGACGGTGTTCATAAGTGTGGAGCTGGAGCGTTTTGGCGACCGATATGATTAATCCATTCCAAGCTGCTGCTTCGCCATTGTTTATCAAACTGTGCTCATTCCATATTTTACTTCATTGCTGAGAATTACAAACACACGTCACTGCAGGAAACACAAAGCCACAATTCACAAGATGAGTCTGCCCCTACGTGTGCCCACTATGGCTAGGCTTATAAAGCCAGCAGCACCTGCTCTGCGAGCCTGAAACATTATATGAATACAAATTTCATTGAGGTACCCTCTGCCAGAAGCTTTAACAGCTCATTATAGCCAACTGCATGGGGCACAAATGAACTCGCACTCTTTTTGATGATTTGAGGTTTACTTTGCATGCATGTGGTGTAAACTGGTGCTGGTAGCCTGATTGGATTCCAAGTCTCAATACTCGGGCCAGATTTCAGAAAAGCATTGTGAGTGGGCATGCTCACACTCTTACGGGAGGGGGGAGTGCAGGAAGGCCAAGACCACATGGCTTAAGATTATTCCCAGTCTCTTAAATTCATGAAAGAGGCAAAATTGCGTTGTCAACTAAATGGCTGAACGGGGTTTGGCATTCGAGTCAAGGTCATGGTTATGGTTTAACCTGAACTCAATTTAGCCTCAAATTCAGCAATTTCTGCTTACCCTTGTTACATGGGGGGAATGGGAAAATAATAAACTACACAACAAGATTCTCTCACTGGCTAGGAAATGTGTCGCATACGTGGATCATGGTACTTGTGTGGGGAGCTGAAATGCAAAGTTCCCATATACATCGGAGTGGCAAAAACATGTTAAACTTCCACATTTTTCTTCAAAATTAGAATTACATTTCATAAATTTTATACAAAACGATTGTCACTGAAGCAATCTTAAAACATAGCAAAGAGAATGAATTAACAATGTAGAGATAAAATATTTAGAAAAAGTATCCCAAATATGAAGTCCTCCCAGGCCCCAGCAGATAAACAGTACCTGCCCATGAGTGCCAACCAGCTGTGACCGACGTGCATGAATACTTTGTCGACAACAGGGCGGTTTTTTAAATTCTTTATTTTCCAAAGCCATCACAAACACCAAGTACTTCACCAGCCTTAGAAATAAAGCGCCGACAATTAAACACACTTAGTCCACTTAAAACTCCTGTAAAAATGATGGCCTGATTTTACAGAATGTCTTCGCAGGGGGCTTAGAATACTTCCCACGCCACTTGCGTAACGTTTTTTTTCTCACGTGCCAAAAATGTATCAGCTTCGCCCACAGCGTATATGATAAAGCTGCAACAACTGCTCCGATCCCTTATTATTAAAAATGAAAACATAAAAAAGGTCACATTAAGCCACTAAAGGCCAGGGCTAGTACGGGCCCGGGGTTGGGTTTCCGTGGCAACCAACCGTAGCCACGGCAGCGGTGGTCATGGCAGCCGGCCAAGCCCGCATAGTGGGCAGCTATTCACACGCGACGCACCACTGTGCAATATTTACTATGTTTTTGTTAACATGGTAGTCTTATGCTGTTTATTATGGAGACAATGGTTTGTCGACTATAAAATAAAGTTACGAAAAGTTAACAAAATATTTAAGTTTTTGACAACCATTGCACATAAATTAAAGGCAAAGTCCTTAAAGGCATGTCGTGACCCCACCTCCAGCAAACATGCTTAATTCTTGAGTAGCAACCGTAAAGCAACGTTTCAGGAATCTGATACCCAACAAATATCAATATTTTGCCAAATAAAATGTGGAACATTAATTAAACAAAAATACCAGGGCTGCCATTAAATCACGTGTTCTATGATTTATGTGATGAGTTTCCGTAAAAAGTGCAATGCACAAGTGACGCCAAACTGTGAAGCACATGGAACTGGATGCTTCGAGAAGCGCACATTTAAATAAACTCAAGGATGGTGGTGCACACCTGTGATCCAATGCTTTGAGTACAGATTGGTGTATCAAGTAGAATTGTGAAACTCCCTTACCCGCTGCGAGGTGATGAAGAGATGGCATATCAGCAAACGGATTCGTGAACCAATCTGCACAGACTTTTTAGAATTACCCCCTCCTATGTGTGTACTCCAGTTTCCTTACACAAGCAAATACTCCTTAAAATGTAATAGGTCAAACATCCCAATGCAGGATCATTGTAAAAGTCTTAAGACTATAAGGCATACGAGTTTTTTTTTTTTTAACAGTGATGTTCGTCTTCGAGCGTTAAAAACAGACGCGTATTCATAACCCCACTTCCTCCAGGTGCAAGGTTGTTCTGCAATATAAACATTGACATTGGTTTCTCCACTTTACCCTATACACCGATGTTTGGGTTTTAACAGCATAAATAGCAAATTGAAAAATGTCCTCGAGGCATTACCAGATAAATAAATGGCATTATTTACATCATTATTAGGCTTGCAGGCAGTGGTTATTGCTTCAATAAAAATAAGCCAATTACAAAATACGAAGACTAATTGATTTTTCTGCATGCAATGGATAAGGTAATAATAATATCTCGCTGGCTGGCTCGTGTGGGTGCCAACTCAAACTACACTTGCGCACTTCCAGAGCAATAATGGGAGTATTGAGAGGCATGGTAGGATATGGCACTCCTTGTAAAATGGCAATATCTGAAGCTAAAGCTCTTGTGGAATAGGCAGAAAGGTCTCACGAGATCTGGTACTGTGTGGCGATTTTCTCAAGGACTGTACATCCACTACCTCCAGTTGCCTCTGGCAGATTTACTTCAACACTGACCTTGAGTTTGACATTGCGTGGAAGTAAACCAGCTGATACCTTTTAAACCAATAATGTGAACATTCGATTAATGTAGCACTTCAACCAATCAGGAATTATGCCAGAACTTCACTTCCCATGCAAAAAAACCTCTGCATTAGCTTCATAATAACTGATGTTTGATTCAAATATTCTAATGGCAGCATAAACCACACATATTCAACTACAACCTCTGCATCATGTTCAGTTTTTTAATGAGCAATTAATTTTAACCATATATCAGGCGATACCAGCTTGGACCCCTTCTTAGATTTTGCTGATGTTCAAAGGCTAGTTACTACAAAGTTTGGATTTTTAAATCCATGACCTCTAAAAACACTGAATACATCAAAAGAGGTCAATTTTTTCCACCGATTCATTTTGGAATAACAAAAATATTCAAATGAGATGAAAGAAATGGTCTAAGACAAAGCCAATGCGAAAACAGTAATATTCAACAAAAACATTAGGAACAATTAATGTTTTGATAAAAGCAGTTGTCCCAGTTTTTGGAATAAAATCTGTAAAATAAGTTAAAGTCTTAATTTGCCAGTATTTTTCCACAGAAGATGGTCAGGAACTGCCTTTTCGCCTGAACAAGAATTACATTAACCTCTGACACAATTATAAGCTGCATTACTGAGGGAAAAAAAGGCTTAAACGCAACGATCATGCACACTGTCACAGCGCCTTGGTAATATCCCAACACTGACGATGCGACATCACAAGAGTGCAATGAACTATACGCCTGACCAGTGGTTCCCAAGCTTCATGGACAAGCGGACAACTTCCAACACTCAAAACGTTTTTGCAGACCACCACGCAGTAAAAAATAAGAATATGAATTCCTGCAGTCACGAAAGCTTTAAGTCAAGATTTCTAAAATATGGTGTTTAGTGAAAAAAATCGTAACATCTGCAGCAGGTCCACGGACCACTTCCCAAGGCCTTGGAGACCCCTGACCACAGGTTGGGAACTACTGCGCGAGACCATAATTTAAATGTCTATGTCTCATTAGTGGCACTTCACCCACGTCAGCCTGGAAAACCCACCCTAAGTAATATCAAGCTACCTTTGTTTTAGGTAGTGTCTTTACAGATATCAGATACAGTTCTTCCTCATATTTCTAAGAGATGTTGCACTGTCGTGGCTTAATTGATCAGTGTCTCCACAGGCACCCCCCAGTCTCTGCGTTGTATTGAACCACGACTGGTCTTACCCTCCCCAGCAAGGGCTCTACATTTGAGTTCCCCCAAAAGAGGCAATCGTAAAACGGTGAGGGGTGCTAGCAGGGAACATCATGCGCCGCTGGCAGTGAGACGGCTCACGAGCACGGCTCAAGGCAGACTTGCAGCAGGCGACAATGCCAGTTTAGCTCACGCTCACTGATCCGTGAAGGCATGGTGTACGTTCTATTGTAATAAAACATATCCTGTTGCTCTTTTGATGTTACAGGGAATCTATCTACACAGTGTGTTTCTGCATTACAGACATAACAGAGAATTTCCTTTAAGCTTACAATCCATTCAACAATGGTCCTCATAAACACCCAGTCAAGGTGATACTGCACCTGAGGTGTATTGCAGTTGCAGCTTTGTTGCTCGGACTAACACCTGAGCCGCCTGCACGACAGGCTCATATGAAAAAACAGGGACACGAGCGTCTACTCATTTTCACAGTACAAAACAACTAAACACTACCAATGTCTAATGCTACTCAGTCAGTCTTCAAACACGTACATATTTCCAGCAAGAGCTTTACAATACAACACACTTTGAATTTATTATATAGCATTTAAATGCGACCATATCTCAAGACAGTATACGGAACAGTGAGCATATTAATTGTTTGAAACTGTCAGTCGTAGGCAGAGGCAAAAAAAAGGTCTTGAGCCTGGACTTGAACAGGGGCTAGGGGGTTGAGACCACTGACCGCTGGGGAAAGGGGAGTTCTAGACTATGGGGGGCGGCAGAGGAAAAACTTTTTCGTATCGAAATCCCAGTGCACCATGCATTGCCAACCCTGTTTAATAACGCCATTGTACGTGGCGGGGAGCATATTTTGGGGCGAACGCTGCCAATGGGGGGGGGACAAAAAAAAGTCCGTTGTATTCTGTACTCTGAATACAGCGCCATGCGCTTGACCCTACCTCTGTGCCCACGTCTACACAAGTGACATCTTATTAAGACGCGTGGCTAACACTTGTCTTCGCATGAAGGCAGTACGTAATATATACAAACGTATTATCACATTGTGAAGAAGGGAGACCACAAGCATACACCGAATTGTCAAAATGACCCTGTAATTGGATGGCTAACATTTTGGTAAAATTGCAGAAAAGTTTACTTCTACAATGAACGTAATAAACAAAGATTGTTATTGGTCGTTAGTCAAATAACCAAATGCTGGATACAAATTTTGACTTAATAATCTTACCAAACAGTGAAAATTCACTCTCACAACAAAAACTTCTCCTTTGTTTTTATATGAAGGTAAAATAGCCTGAGCACACTAATAGATTAAGGTACCCAACTTAAATTAAGCTATCAAATGAATATAGAGTAATAACAATGTTATTACTGACTTACAAAAAAGAAAGTTGCTACTTACTAAGAGTAATGTCACTGTATTGGTGTTATTTGGTGTATTCGGGTGTAAGAACAGTGTTTCCATTGCTAAGCAGTGGTCAATGTGTTTGGTCTGAAATGTAAACAACTAAAAGGTTTTGTCACCAAATAAATATATAATGCACAATCTCATCATCTTTGCAGCACAGGACAGAGATTAGCACTTACCTCAAAAAAATATATCCGTGTTCACTATTTGAGATTACCGTTGGTGAGTGCACACTTTACAAAATTACACGAAGGAACATGTGAAATGTGTACGAGGGTAAAACCAAAAACCATTTCCTTCAACCCCAAACACAAGGAGCATTATTTCTCCATATATTCCCGTCACGGCAAGCCACTCCCTCCTCAGGAACCCCATACACATCGATTGCTGTGTGCATGGTTTGGTAGAGCACACCCCTCAGCAGGACAAGGTGGGCGACGCTATACAAAGCACACAAAGGCACCCGCTAGTTCCGTGCACAAAAATTACACGTCGTGTGCACGAGCTTTAAAGGGCCTGAACTAAACTGCTGAGCTAAGGAGTAAAAGCGATTGATGTCTGTGACCCACTGGCACTCATTGTGAGCTGAATTTGAAGATAAAAGTTCTTTTACATTCTGGATATTTTTCCAGGATTTACAGATATGCTTCATAGTCAAAGACAATGAGTAAGTATTCACTCGTAGATCACCTCTCACGTGCAGAGTAACAACTCCCAATGTATAATATGGCTTCTGTCCCCATATGCCAGCACACTGACCGGGCTGAAGGTTGACAACGCGTGTTTGTGAATCCATACGGTGCTCATCTGGGAAGTCAATTATTCTCAGTTTCACATCTACACTTCCTCTCTGTTAAGCAGCCAGCGGTCACAAAACCTATTTGCAGCTCTCACTTTTTCCGCTTGGAAAAGACGTGCTGATATCTTATTTTCATCAGTTCTTTTACCTGCATTTTGCACCACTCACCTCTGCACCAATTGTAACACACTTCCACAAAACACTGTATGACAGACCCTCAAAAGAGTGCACCTTCCACTTATACTTATATATTCATGTTGAACTTCTTTCGCACCGTGCGCAGCCAACCGTGCTAATCAGAGGTGCAGATTAGCACCTTATGATGACGAGGGGCCTTTGATGATCCTCACGTGCAATTCTCTCTCCCCGTGCTTTGGGTCGCTCCTACACATCACGCTGATCAACGACCAGTACACTTCCCCGTAGTCAACTTGAGGGCACCGAGAGAGTGGAGGCGGTGCAGCGTTCGATACTCGAGCGGCATTGTGTGTGGGCCGGCACGCGACCGGTAGCGGTACCGAAGGCCCTCATAGTAGTGGTAGCGCACGGGTTTGCCAGCGATGTTGTACTGGAAGGGCCAGAAGCCATAGAGGTGGATCTCGCGACAGAAGCGGGTGGCCAGCGTGTACATGAGCAGGCCGGTCGTGGGTCTTTTGATGTACACCTTGTTGGTCAGCCAGTAACTGTATGCACAGAATAGAAGGAAAGGACAAAGATCTCCAAGTTAGAATTATGGAGCGCTGGGCCTGGTGAGTTTGGCAGGCACCATTAAGGTCAAACACACCACACAAGGTCTTGGTATGGCCACCACCACACATGCCTTGCTGCTGTTGTCTGCCGAGCATTTATTTTAGGTAAAGTTGGCCTTGGGAAGGTCTAGATCAGGCGTAATAATAATTTCAACTGGTAACTTGCACAGTATATCTCACTCTCAAAAGAGAGACGACTCAAGTGGTGCAAGGAAGCAGACAAGTGGGAAAGTCTGCCATGCAATGAGCCGGTAGTAAATTCCCCCCCACCCACCGAGCTCTGCGGTCCTCTATATATTAAGTTGCTATTAGCCAATTAATAATAGACATCAACTAATTAGGATGTAATAATAATTTTAAAGCCCTGTTAATGCACTACGGAATGGGGGTTGTTTGACCATATTTCACCTCACTGGTCAATGCAGATTGGTGTAGGGGGAGGGGGGTGGGGGTCAAGCCCTGCAAAGATATCAAGTCAAGTCAATTTTATTTTGCTTAAACACATGGCGCCTTTCTGACACAAATCTGCCATCCAAATCTAACATGTTTATGGTAGCTTTCGTGACTGCAGGAATTACTCTTTGTTTTTTTATGTAAAGTCACGTAGAAAGATATTAAATTATAATAGATTACGACGTTTAGATTGCAACACAAGCAAACATCATCAGGTACAAATGAATGAGAAATAAACATAGTAAACTTGAAAATATAATGCAATACAACACAGAGAGTCGGCCAACACAAGAGTCAACACCCCACCTGGTTGATTACGTTCTTCCAAAGATTGCTGGATTTGAGAGAGACACACAGACAGACACAAGCAGAGAGAGACTCACACAGAGATAAACAGAGACACACACATTGGCACGCAGAAAGACGTCTCTGTGTCGAGGCCTTTACATTTTTTCTACGTGACTTTACCGAAATAACCAAAGAGTATGTTTATGGTAGCTCTGTCTAGAACTCAAACTCAGGTAACCAGGTTAATCGCATATGTGCGTGGCCAGAAAATAAACCGGAGTTGATTGAATTGGAACAGTGCACAAACCACCTCACCACCACTCCTCTAGTACAAACAGTGAGGGAAAAAAGTATTTGATCCCCTGCTGATTTTGTACGTTTGCCCACTGACAAAGAAATGATCAGTCTATCATTTTAATAGTAAGTTTATTTGAACAGTGAGACAGAACAACAAAAAAATCCAGAAAAGCGCATGTCAAAAATCTTATGAATTGATTTGCATTTTAACGAGGGAAATAAGTATTTGACCCCTCTGCAAAACATGACTTAGTACTTGGTGGCAAAATCCTTGTTGGCAAGGCCACTCCAAGACCTTAATGTGCTTCTTGAGCCACTCCTTTGTTGCCTTGGCCGTGTGTTTTGGGTCATTGTCATGCTGGAAAACCCATCCACGACCCATTTTCAATGCCCTGGCTGAGCGAAGGAGGTTCTCACCCAGGATTTGACGGTACATGGCCCCGTCCATCGTCCCTTTCATGTGGTGAAGTTGTCCTGTCCCCTTAGCAGAAAAACACCCCCAAAGCATAATGTTTCCACCTCCATGTTTGACGGTGGGGATGGTGTTCTTGGGGTCATAGGCAGCATTCCTCCTCCTCCAAACACGGCGAGTTGAGTTGATGCCAAAGAGCTCCATTTTGGTCTCATCTGACCACAACACTAACACCCAGTTGTCCTCTGAATCTTTCAGATGTTCATTGGCAAACTTCAGACGGGCATGTATATGTGCTTTCTTGAGCAGGGGGACCTTGCGGGTGCTGCAGGATTTCAGTCCTTCACGGCGTAATGTGTTACCAATTGTTTTCTTGGTGACTATGGTCCCAGCTGCCTTGAGATCATTGACAAGATCCTCCCGTGTAGTTCTGGGCTGATTCCTCACCGTTCTCATGATCATTGCAACTCCACGAGGTGAGATCTTGCATGAAGTCCCAGGCCGAGGGAGATTGACAGTTCTTTTGTGTTTCTTCCATTTGCGAATAATCACACCAACTGTTGTCACCTTCTCACCAAGCTGCTTGGCAATGGTCTTGTAGCCCATTCCAGCCTTGTGTAGGTCTACAATCTTGTCCCTGACATCCTTGGAGAGCTCTTTGGTCTTGGCCATGGTGGAGAGTTTGGAATCTGATTGATTGCTTCTGTGGACAGGTGTCTTTTATACAGGTAACAAGCTGAGATTAGGAGCACTCCCTTTAAGAGTGTGCTCCTAATCTCAGCTCGTTACATGTATAAAAGCCAGCTGGGAGCCAGAAATCTTTCTGATTGAGAGGGGGTCAAATACTTATTTCCCTCATTAAAATGCAAATCAATTTATAACATTTTTGACATGCGTTTTCTGGATTTTTTTATTCTGTCTCTCACTGTTCAAATAAACCTACCATTAAAAAGATAGACTGATCATTTCTTTGTCAGTGGGCAAACGTACAAAATCAGCAGGGGATCAAATACTTTTTTCCTTCACTGTATACAAACCACACACGTACACAAAGACCCCTGTTTGACCTTACAGAATACATACACACAATCATACGAAGGCCAGCATGGCATTAAAGTGGGTGCTTGGCCAACACCGTTCATGCCGGGCGACCTTTGTTTCCTCGGTGCTGATGTAACACTCACAAAAGGCTGAAAGTTGAACTCGTGGAGATTCAGACCATGTTTAGACATCAATTTTCAAAGGTTATGTTCATATCCAGGAATACAACGCAAGTCACTACGTTTGTAACATAGCAGTACGAATCATGATGCCACCCCTCCTTCAGAACACACACTCAAAACACCAATTTATCTATACAGACTATACACTATTGGAAATACCTGGAATGATAGTTATCACGACTTATAGCTTTTGTGATTGGAGGAATTCATATTCTTTGGGTCTTTCAGTAAAGTCACGTAGATCGGTTCAAAGAAAATAGCTAAAAACTACGACGTTCCGATCGCAACACAATCGCAACGTCGTAGAAGGCTGTCTATTATTTTCTTTGAAAATAACAAAAAACTACGACGTTTCGATCGCAACACGATCGACACCTTTTGCAAGGAATCATGTCTGCATTAACCACACATACTTGTGGTGAACATGCAAACAAAAACATGCTATGGTAATAAATCCATCGTCTTTGAAACTGATTAATATACACCAGAGACAGCCTTCATTAGAGTTTACACTCAATCAGTGTTAGACCAGAGAACGCCAAAAGGCCAAAATCCATTCTCTGGTCTAACACTGGTTGAGACTGGGCCCGAAAGAAGGCCGTCTCTGGTGCAAAAGGTTTCTGTTTTGGTGTTTGAACATCTTAACACCTGTTTTATTGCCAGAAAAGGCAAAACCTACTCTTATATTACCATTACATCACAAATTCAAAATTATTTGTCATTTTTTTCCATTCATGTTCAAATGTTAACAGCATTATAGAAAACTGAGCCCATGCTGCTCTTGTGAGCCTTAAAAATAAATAATGAAAGTCGATTACAAATTTATATTTGCATGCATAAAATAACAGCCTGTAAGCGCAAGCAAATACCCCAAATTTCCCACATTCTCAAGAAAAGCAGCTCACAGAGCGACAGTGTTTGAATAGGCAGGCATGCTCATTAAAGACCAATGCATTTAGTTTGACTTTCTCACAAGTGAAGGGCAATCTGACAACAGCAATTCATTACAAAAAAATGACCGTGAAAACCTGTGATTTGGTTAAATGTGCCAGCATATTTTAGAAATGTGTCATAACAGATGGCAAGTAGCAAGCACAAAAGAAGATCTCAGTTTATTGTGACATCAAACTCTTCATAATTTTAAACATCCTCTTTGCTATCTTACAATGTTTGGTCAATTAAACCTTTCAAAATAATGCTGAAGTGTGTTTTGTATGTTTATATAGATTTTTCTGTCTCCAATTTCAATGCCAGATGTGTTTTGCATTTATTATCAATAACTTTTTAGGCAGACAGCTAAACTCATAAACATATGCAAAGTGTGAAATGAATGTGAAATATCAAAAGTTAAAAGAACAGAAACATTTCAAACAATTGCAAGAATCCATTTAAGACACGAGTGTGCGAATGTGGATGTATCTCACACGAGAAGAACCTGTGGTCGTGTGGCTTCCTGCATCTACAAGAGCTCCTAGTGAGGCACAACAACTGCATTCACTCACTTCACAGGTGGGCACGGATACCAAACCATGGTGCCCCAAGGGGCTTCAGAAAAATCCCTAACATGCTCCCATGTCAGTGTCGCTGTGGGAACCACACGTTCCACACACACATTTCAGAGCTCACTTCCATCCTACACCTCCCTTGCAAAGAAACGTTGTCTCAATGAGCCTCACCTGATGAAAAGAAGGCAACTGGCTGCTGACTAAATAACATCAGGCTGCGATGATTAGTTTAGTTTGTTGTCCTCCCCCCCCCCCCCCCCCCCCCCCCGCAAACTCCGATTAGCACGGTTGGCTACGTATGGTGCGAAAGAAGTTACACATGCACACATGTTATGATTGGTGCAGAAATCCACACTATGATCGGCAGTCTCTACAGAAAACACGAGCATCCTGTCAGCAGTTGTCTGGAGCAAGGAAGACAAGGTGGTGTGTTGGGATACAGAAGTGGGGTGGGTGGTATGTGAAGGCGAAAGGGGCCTTCATTAAGTGCTATACTGTCAAAGTAATGGCATCCCAGCCAATTAGCACTTGAGATGCTGTGCAAAAATTGCTAATATTACCTTCCGCTGCTGCATTTTTTCATTATGCCAATTATTTTTTGTGCCAGTTAACCTTAACATGTTTATTTATTTACATATTTATTAGAGAAAAGTAACTCTTAACATATTTTCCTGCGAAGGTAAAAAATACTTTATAAGCAGTAGAATTCTATCATATATGCGGTTGCATAAGGGTGTGTGCATACTCGGGTGTGTA